ATTTATCTAATTAGATTAGAAAGCAGTTGACGTGCTTACACATGGGCTTCATAACGACACGTGGAGCTTCTTAATTTATTATCTTTTTTTTTTTTTACAAGGTAATAGTTAAAAAGTTAGTGTGAGTTAATTATTAACAACTGGTTCTCAGACCGGATGAACATTCCACCCCTAAAATGAGGCACGCGACCATCAAATTGCTTTTTGATAGAATTCACGACGATAATGGAGTTCGAAATTTCGACCACCTTACCCAAACACTTAAGATTTTAGGTCGAACCATGATCATAAGGCCAATTCTTAATTTATTATCATGCAAGAGATAAGATGGATGAATTCTGACCTAAGGAATCTGACTCTTGAAACTTTCTATAAATGAGAGGTCATGTCAATTCTACTCCTTTTTAATATAATTCTTTTTTTGTTAAACTTTTTTTTTGGTCCCTTAACTATTGTACAGACCTCCGATTGAGTCCCTCAACTCAAAAAATTCTTAACTCGGTCCCTATTGTTTACCATTTTAACCCCGACTTGGTCTCTCCGTTAAAAATCGCATGACGTGTCCTATTAATTCACGGTAATACTATGACATGTCAAAATACGTGGAAGACAACATGGCAAACAAATAGTGATATGGAAAAAAATAATAATATGGTAAAATATATTAATATGACAAAAAAAAACTTAAAAAACTCTTTTCTTTTTCTTTTTTTTTCCCTTTCTCCTTCCCATTCTCTTTCCATTGGGGTCATGGGTTCTTGGGTTCCAAGGAACCCAGGCGTTGGGGTTCCTTTGAACCCGATGCTAGGTTCGAAGGAACCCAGGCTTGGGTTCCTTTGAACCCATCCCTGGGTTCGAAAGAACCCAGGCGTGGGTTCTTAAGAACTCGACGTTGGGTTCCGTTGAACCCAGCCGGGTTTGAAGGAATTCACGCCTAGGTTCTACAAACTCGGTGCTGGGTTCCTTGGAACCCAGGGGCAAAAACTAAAAAACATTTCTATTTTTTGTTTTTTTGTTTGAGTTTTGTGTTTGATGATGAGAAGAATTGATTGACGGAGAAGGTAAGGCAAGGAAGAAGAAGGAGAAAGGGTGCCTGTTGGGTTCGATTGAACCCAACACCTGAGTTCCTTTGAAGAATTGATGTTTGATGAGGAAGGAGAAGGTGATGTTTGATGAAAAAAAATATATATATATATATTTATGTGTTTTTGTGGATTTTGTTGTTTGATGAAGAATTGATTGATGAAGATGAAGAATTGATCGATGAAGATGGCAAGGAAAGGAACAAGAAGGTGAAAGAGAAAGTGGAGGAAACAAGAGAAATTTTTAAATTTTTATTGCCAAATCATTATTTTTTTGCCATGTTGTATTTCCACGTAGGTTTAATATTTTGACAGATCATTATACTTCCGTTAATTAACAACACACGTCATGCGATTTTTAACGG